TAAGGAACCATGGTCTGAAGATCGCAGTTGCTAGGGTTTAACTCACTTAACCGCCTGCGATAAGTTTCTGGATGACTATTGGGTATTCACTTTGTGGGTGAGCGGTTGTGTCCGATTAAACCCCCCTACACTACTTGACCTAGCCCTAGATACCAACCCTCTTAGCCTGACGGTGTTTCACTCGCCTGTGACATGTCAATAAAATCGTCGATCGTTTTGGGTAGCTCTTAGTCAGATGTTGTAGGACAGCCTCAAGTGCCCAGGCGTCCTATCGTCCTAGATCTTTTGTTTGATAGGGGCACAGCTTACTCTAGAATTAGCTAAGCATTATGACGCGGTGTTTTCTATACTGTATCAGTATCTGAGTAAGAGGACAAGCATCCCGTGTTTTGCAGTAGCCATAACAAATTGAAATGTCAGCTTACTATCGCCCTCCATTTTTTCGCCTGAGGTGACTGTGCAAGGGCAACGGATTTGCCCTTTCAGTGGGTTTGTTGAGTGCGTTTGTTCTTGTCTCGGAGAGCGCAGACCAGCCGATGCGTGCAGGTGTTCAAGTACCTACTCCTGGGATGGGCATCTGGACCTTTTCCTGCAAATTATAATGTCCCACGTCATTACGTACAGGTAGCTGCGGACAGACGGCCACACAGAACTTAGGACGCAACTTGAGAACAAGCTCATCCGACGGAGAAAAGTAAGCGTCGGCCCAAACAATACTGGCGCAAGGTCAAGCTGTTGAGAGTCTGGCCTGACCTAGCCTGGCGAAGAGTGAAGTCATGGGGAGGCCTGAGGGGTAGGAAGGGTGTATTCTGTATAGAGGGGTCAAAGAATAGGTAGTAGGAGATTTGACTCGGACGACTGCAGTCCGTTCCCCAGTCGGGTCGGGTCCAAAGTGATGTCTGACGACAGTTACCGCATTGAGGTCTGTCCAGACGAATTGAAGCCAATCTACTAAATAAGACTAGTTTACTAATGCGGAAATCTGATTGGACGAATGGGTGTCAAGCCACTGTGGATTGAGCGCTGGACGGAGAGGCAAGGTGCGCACGTCTGCGCCCGGTCCGATGCACGCCGAAAACTGCCTTCGCGCGAGGTACTATGTTCTGAGTGACCTCTTCTTTGGCGTC